GTGCCTAACCCTTACTACTCTCCACTGGAGTGATTCTCAATCCACCTTTTCCATGTTGTGCTTTTTTTTAATAACTTGGTTTGTGGATCACACATATCTGTAGATCTGTCTGCTCCTTTTGTGTTTTTTTGTCAGATCTGGAGAGACAACAGGACTAGATGATGGCTTATGTTTGACAGCAGCTGAAAACAGGCATCGTCATTCATAAAAACACAAGCCCACAACACAAGCCGGCAGCTACTACTCTTAGGCAACTGAACCCAAACCTAGAGCAGTAGCTGCCAGCCTGTATTGTACGCTTGTGTATTTATGAATGACAGATCTCGTCTGCAGCCTTCATCATTCACAAACAAGCTGGCCAGTACTACTTTAGTCCCTCTCCCTGCAATAACCGAAGGGAGGATCGGAGCTCAAGTAGTCTTTCCCCATGTCTTTCCATTTGTAGAAGGCAGGAGGCACAGGGCTGCTGATTAGTTTACAGGTGCAGCTTTAACTCTGTGTGCACTGTCCATCACTGCCCGCTCTCCTCTCTGTGCCAGTCAGTCACACTTTATTAATTTTGGCTCTTTGCTAGCAACATTAGTTTAGCAACCAAGGCATGGATTAGGATGGAACCAAGTGCTGCACCTTGTTGATTCAATGCCGATTTAAAAACAAAGTGATACTTCTTCTTTAACTAGATATAATGCATTCCAAGAATGTAGGCAACCAAAATGCAGGAAGTTAACCAGCATTAAAACAAAAAAACCAAAACATTTCAAGGTTGAAATGTTTCTGGAAATCGGTTACCATTGCCACGTATAAAGCATATAATGCTTTCTCCCAGAGATTTCAGGGAATACCCATTCTTCATAGAAAAGGAATTTTTGGGAATGCAAATTTCTGACATGGGATCAACAGTTAAGAAGACTATCATAATGTAATTGTTATTTTTTTTTAATTTCCTTGTCCTGGAATTACATTAGAATCTGACCTGTACAGGTATCGTGCTCGGACATGGCAGGGCAGTTTGCTCCAACTCTCAAAAGCTTTCCGTGCTGTGCTTACTGCAAACTCCACATCTTCCTCATTTCCCTGGATGGTGGTTGCCAAAGTCTCTCCTAAGGATTAAACAGAAGAAAGGTTTTTGAATGCAAGGCACTGATGTCAAGAAGACATTACAGACGTAGAACATTAGGTCTTTGTCAGTTTTTAACTGAACTGAATTAAAGTGAACTCAAAACTGAACCCAGGCCAGTTTGCTCATCCTCAACTACTAGTCTCAGGTGATTTAGTTTGAGATTTGGAGATGCCACTACTGTGATGCTTGCCGTTTCCCTTGCTGGAGGCTCTGGCATGAGGAAGCAAAGCCCTGCCTCTACCAAGATGGCCACCCCCACATAGAAACATGGCATGTCAGTATTGGGGAGAAGATCATCTGCAGGGAGACCACAAGTAGTGGTGTATTTTGATTTGGGGCTGCCCTAGGCATCACCAAGAGGCGTAACTAGAACCTTCAGGGCTCCGTTGCAAGAAGCCATGAAGCCTTCCCCCCCAACCGCCATGCCACCGCATGGTTAACAGGAAGGCTGCCGAGGTCCACAGCAAGCACGGGACCTCTGGCAGCCGCTTGTTTTAAATTTTAGTGCCGGTGTTCTGTCGAGAACGCTGACCCAGTATCTGCTATTACATAGAGACGGGATTAATGAGGGAACCGGCTTTTATTTACAAAGTATTCGTTTGTAATTGTTAATTGTGACCGTTAATAATATGCCGTCCATGGCAGTAAATGATGGGTGGAATATTATTAAGTCACAATTAAAGATTTCAAGATTTAAATACTTTGTGAATAAATCAGTTTCCTCGATAATATTGGTCTGTGCGCAAGCTCAGATGCTGAGGGCAGCAAATTTGACTACGTCGGCGTTCGACAGAACACCGGTATTTGCGTTTAGTATCGGGGCATTTTCACGAGTATGAGTACTCGTGAAAATGCCCAGTATTGGCAGTGGTGTATCCCTACTAAAAAATATAATGCATTGCTTTGAATGTAGTCCTACATAGTTGGAGCTATTCTGCATTGCTGTATAATCATCATACAGCAATGCAGGACCACAAGTCCCAGCAATACATTATAATGAAAGTCAGCCATGCAGAATACCACAAGCACCCCCCACCACCACCACTAATATGCATTGCTGGGACTTGTAGTCCTACATAGTTGGTGCTATTCTGCATTGCTGTATAATCATCATACAGCAATGCAGGACCACAAGTCCCAGCAATACATTATAATGAAAGTCAGCCATGCAGAATACCACAAGTACCCCCCACCACCACTAATATGCATTGCTGGGACTTGTAGTCCTACATAGTTGGTGCTATTCTGCATTGCTGTATAATCATCATACAGCAATGCAGAATACCACCAGTTATGCTGAACTACAAGTCCCAGCAATACATTATAATAAAAGTCAGCACTAAAGAGGAGAGGGTCCTCACACAGCAGAATGTGCTGCCCGGCAGTGCCAGCAGCACATTCTTGCTGCGACCTCTGCGACCCTGGTAGTTCCGCCAGTGGCAACACACATACACAAAATTTGCCCCACCCCTTCCTGTTTAAGACTTTTTGCGTAACCTGTCAGTTGCTGGATACAGCGCACACGCTGTATCCAGCTTTTGACATGATCTGCTATTCGCATTGCAGGAAAACATGTATTCCCCACCCAGGAGCTACAGATGCTGCATACAGCTCCCCATAGAGCCCAATGGCTCTAGGCAGGTATACATAAAAACGAACATCCCTGGACACAGAGTATCTGTTGTAGTCTGTTCTTACACGTGTTTATGCACATACCAGCATCTTTTAGCCTATAACCGTTGATTTGTATTAGCAGCTGTATGCAGTTCCTTGGCAGGGAAGTAGACCTAAATTTTACATTGCA